TTTTTTAGGGTATAAAATGAATTGTTTGAAAAGAAATTTCTATGTTATTTTTTTTGGCTGTATACTAATCTCCTTATTCTATATTAGTTTGAAATTTTTACCTTGAAATCTTGCCTAAAATCAAACGGTGAAATCAAACGGTGTCCAGACTGGGCTCACCGATCATCTAGGACAACTAAGAGTGTATTCTTTGTTTCTCCGCATCTCATCGGTCAGTTCATTGACAGCAATGCTCGTTTCAGCACTCTTTTCGAAGCCTATTCAATCAGTGTGCCACTTTGGGCACACCTACAGAATTAAAAAGATAAGTGCTATCTTCACAAAATTTACTTGTGTACTCCTCTAGGCCTAATTAGACAGCCTAAGTTTTTTTTTATTTTTTGTTGTTGTTTTTATCAAAACTCCGACTTTAAAAGGTAGCGTGCTGGAAAGGGTTAAGTAAACTCCCTGTTCCTACTCAGGACTCCAGTGATGTTTCCAATGTCCATTAGAAGAAACAGGAGTCCTGACAGTCTCCGTGTTTGGAGTTTTCCCTTTATATGATAGGTGACGTTGTGACTGGCTGTTGTATATCATGCGACAAAGCAAAAGATTTGCTGTAAACAGTAATCGTTCGATATATTTTGAATGTGTGATATGGCTTTCACTGTGCTTCATTCATTTGGTTTCTCTGACGGAATACATTTGATAAATTTTTACATCCATTGCAATCAGAAACATTTTCTTAAGAACAGACACGAAAAACTTCAATTATGGACTTGCCGTGCGTGTATCTAGATTTCATATATAATTTTACGGAAAACTTTAGTTTTTTCCCTCCACTCACTGATTAAGGCCCACATGCTTGCGGGTTCAGCATTTGCAGCGAGCTATGACCGAACTTATACATTTCACGAATGTCGACCAGGATTAGGGTTATCATGTTTTGAAGTGCAAAAATGAGGCCACCCCAACATGATGTGCATATTCTGCAATAGAAAAATGAGGAGATGATAGCATATCTTGAAACTTCAAAATGAGGGCATCGTATCAATCAAACCACTCCAAACGCTAAAGAATGTTTTACAAGTCCAAATTTACACAACAGCAGAAAACTCATCAGTTTCAAAGAATTGAAATTAAAGTCTGCTAAATATCTTACATATTATAATTTTTTTAAATTATTCTAATCTGCGTTAAAGTTATAAAAATTCAGTTCTCCATTTTGTCAGATTTTAGTCAGTTATGCGTCAATAGAGGGAGAATTTTTAAAAATTAATCTACTCTTCCTTATCACGAATAATAACAGCTTGGGACACTGTTGCTTAATAAATCTGTGAAGATATTTTTGGCAATGCAATTTGATTAATAGTTTCGTCATTTCAGCATCCACATTTTCATTATTAGCGATATAAAATTATAAATAAATTTTGTAAAAAAATTCTTTAATCTCTTTCTCCCTTTAAATTATATTTATATTTGTTGCCATTAAATTATGAGCTGCTTTTCTCTCTTCAGTTCTTTTCTCCCTTTTAGTATTTTATAGATTTTAAATAAAAGATAATTTTATAAAATTTCTTTTAGTTGCCTTACTTTATGAGCCCGAAAGGATAATTTCCCTAGAAAGGCTATTAATTTCGTTTTGGCATGTTGCGTTGATTCATTATAAGCGGCGAATCACTTTTTAAATTGTTGCCACCAAATATTATCGCTCTCTATTATATTTAAAGAAATTAAATAATGAATAATCTGTTGTTGTATGTTTGTAATAAATGGTTGTATGTTTCTCGCATTGTTATAAAACAACGGTACCTAGATCCATCAAATTTTGAATAACGTACGTCTCCACCCGAACATGGGTATCTGGAAGACCAAATTTGAAAATTGAAATTTGTTTTATTATATATTTCATATTTTGTTATACATTTATAAGTTTTCGATTAAGAAACTCAACTATTTCGAAGTGCGCGAGACTGTGTATTGGAAATATTTTGTGTATTCTAGAGATATGCTCTTTTAAAATATTTTGTGATATTGCTTTTGAATTGAATTTTATGGTTTAAGGGCGAAGAAAATGATATTTAATAAATAAAGGTAACACATAAAACGTTAAAAAAAAGTCCCTTTGGGCATAATATAAAATCTGAAATTTTTAAGATTTTTTTTTCCCCCTCTCCATCGCATTTTTTATCTCACACTCGCTTTGTCAATCAAATTATTCATTTGAAAAACCTTTGTTCAGGAACTCACTCTTTTACTTCCAAAATTCTATTACATCAAATCCAACGCTTGGCGAATTCTGCTTCGCAATGATAGGAAGAGCCGACATCGAAGGATCAAAATGCGACGTCGCTATGACCGCTTGGCCGCCACAAGCCAGTTATCCCTGTGGTAACTTATTATTTACGGCAAAGCACACTAGGGCTATCTGCCTACACATCAAATAACTTTTAAAAAAAATCGAGCGATTTTCAAAAATTCGCCAAATTCAAAATCATCTAAATCAAGTTATATACACTCATGTCCATAAATTAAGGATAATGCAAAATCAGGCAAAGGAAGAGTTAGAAACAAAACAAATTTGACTTATTTGTAAAGCTTATTTATTAGACAAAAGGTAAAGAGCAAAAAACGATGCTATATGTTTGATATTATTAAAACAATTAGCGATTTTTTCAACCTGGAACAAATTACAAAAAACACCTATTTACAAAAAAAAAAAAAAAAAAAAAAAAAAAAAAAAAAAAAAAGAATTACATGGTTGGTATGATTGTTAATACATTGTATGCATTGTATGTCTCCCAGACGATGCGATACAGACCGTACAACGCCTAGGCATGCTGAGTATCAAATTATCAATCTGATCTTGGGGGATATTACACCACTCAAAAAGCAATGCTCTCCGAAGTTCCGGTAGACATGTAGGAGGAGGTTGACGGGCTGCAACTCATCGGCCAAGCATGTCCCACACGTGCTCTACTGGATTCAAGTCCGGTGATAATGCTGGCCAGTCCATACGGTGATATCCTCCGATTGAAGGCATTCGCTTACGATGTTTGCACGGTGAGGACGGGCGTTGTCATCCATAAACACAAATTGTGCGCCCATGGCGCCCCGAAAAATAAGCACATGTTGTTCCAGAATGACGTCCCGATAGATTTGGCTTGTCGTGGTTCCAATTTGAACATGCAAGTCAGTTCTGGAACCCAGAATAATTCCACCCCAAACGAGCACTCCTGCACCACCGTAACGGTGTCATTCATTGGTGTTTTCTTGGTGGTAACGGGTACGTGGAGCTCTCCATATGAAAGTCTGGCGAGAATCAGACTGCAAGCTAAACCTGGACTCGTCGGAAAACATCACACAAGCCCACTGTTGCGGTGTCCACAATGCATGCTCTCTACTCCAGGCTAACCGCAGGACAGTGAGTTGCAGTAAGTGGAACGCATCTGATTGGTCTACGAGCATATAGACCTATCTGCCCTAAGCGTCTGTACACGGTCTGCTTTGAAATTGTCGTACCAGTGGCTGAAGAGAGCTGACGAGACAGGTCTGAAGCTGTGCTCCGCCTGTTTCTTTTGGCAGTAACTGCCAAATACCGGTCCTCATTCGGCGTTGTAACTCTGGGGCGACCTGTGCTGAAACGTATACTCACATTACCATCATCTTGGAATCGTTGTCATTCCAGACGGCCAATAATTCTACCACGTAAAAAATTTTCCAAATGCGTCCTTTGTGTCATAACTATTCGGTTATTTCCCTGAAATGCTTATAAAGCGCCTGCAAACAATTTTACCTTTTTGCCTGTATTACTTATGTATCACTCTCTTACACTCTTGTCATTGTGTCGTACCATCGGTGTCATCTGGTTACTTCCTGAAATTTGCATATGATTCTTGAAGATGTGTATAGCGATTTTACAGGTGATATATTTATTTTAGAGTTCGATTTCCGCGTGACTCCGAATTATCCTTAATTTATGGACATGAGTGTAGATACCGCTATACCAAATTCGACTGTCATTCACAATGAGTTTGCATGAAATCGTTGAGCTCGGTAGCTTATAAAGTATTTTTCTCTCCTTCCAGCATGCCTTTGTGGTGTAATGGTAGCATACACGACGCGTCCATTTTCGAGTACCGGCGAAGGCATTCACACTTTTTTTTTTTTGCATTTTCTGCTTCCGAATTTGCTTTAAAAGGGATAGCATATAAGGTATTTTCTCCCTATACTATATTTATTAATAGCAGTTTTTTATTAAGCTAACTTCATTTGTTCTTTCCGAATTCGAAATTTAATTTCAATCCAAATAAAATTGGTAGATATTTTATGATTTATTTTTAAAATTTGTACTTTTTAGTAAAATTTTTGTAAATTTTTCAAATTATAGCCTGTAAAATTTTTACCATAACCTTAAAGTAAATGTATTTCTAGGCATATTGCAAACAATTAGAGGTTGTTATTAAAAATTTCCTAAGATATACATGAATTTATGTACAGACGCGTTTTGAAATTTGACATATTTGTTATATGCGATAATAATGGCAGATATGGTTTACATTTTGTTAAAATTATTTGAAAAAATGAACAAGGCACTTTTTTTGCGTTCGTACACAACGAAAGGGAGAGGAAACTAGGTTACCATAAATTAAGAAATTGGCGTTAACTGAAAAAAGTGAGGCAAGAAAAATTTTTCAATTTCTCGGTAAGTTTCTCATCCACGTTTAGAAAATTTAATATTTAGGCATAATTTTAATTGTAAAATCAAAATATGAAAAAAAAAATCGCTTGCCATTTGAGGAAAAGTCCAATTTTCTGTCAAAACTCCTATGTTAGAATAATACTATATATAAATCTATTACATATCTTGAGTCACGCTTTCGAGACGTGAAAAACGCAAGTTAAATTTCCTCAATCGCCCCACTAGAACGGGAAATATAGAATTGTGGCCTTTTTCTTTGTGCAAAGCGTACGCCTATTTATAACGCGTATTTGTTTATGAAACATTTTACTTCTTTTAGGATTGCCTGCCTTTTCGGATTAAGGAAATACACCTTGTAAATGAACCGGGTCTTTACCGAACTACTTATAATGCAGTTAAACATGCTTTGCCTAAGAAGATACGAGAAAGGGTGAGTACTATTTCCATTGCTGGTCTTAGAATTGATGGCAGCTTATCTTAAAACTACGCTGTCACACAAGAATTGCAAAAGTAGAGTAAAATGGTGTTTAAGATAATGATTCAAATAAAGAGTTTTAGATAAAGATCTTCTTTGGAAGCATAAACTGAACCTGAAACCGAATCTCACACTCAGTGCGTATTCGAGAGGTCCAGGTTCGATTCCCGGGAAGGGCATTGCACATTTTTAACGTCTTTAGTAACCCTAAAAAAACCCTTATGACTCTACAAACCTCAGCATTGAAAAATACCTTCTTATACTTAAATTACCATTTAAGAAAGACCTCCCATTCTTCTTGATGCTTTAGTGCCTTCGGTTTCTGTGCTTTGAATTCGATTCCTTTTCCACTGAGATTGTTCAATGTTTAAACAAGATGCTTATAAGGTATTTTTCCCGCCTTCCTAGCGTGCCTTCTTGATGTAGTGGTTCTGCACGCTGGGCCGGTATTCCAGAGGTCCGTGGTTCGATTCCCGGCGAAGGCGTTTGTTCATTTTTCATCTTTCCTGCTTCCAAAAAATACCTAATGTCTCTACAGTGGCGCACGAACTAAAAAGGTGTTGGATGAGGATTCTCCACATCCAGGATTTGGTGATCAGGTCCACTAAAAACCCCATTTGCCCTTTAAAAGGGGGAGTATATAAGGTATTTCTCCCGCCTTCCTAGCGCGCCTTCGTGGTGTAGTGGTTTGCACACTGGGCCGGTATTCCAGAGGTCCGTGATTCGATTCCTGGCGAAGGCATGTGCTAATTTTTCATCTTGCCTGCTTCCAAATATAATACCTAATGTCTCTACATGTTTAATTTCTTCGGTTCCTACACGGGGATTCAATGCTTTCGGTTACTGCGAGATCTATTCGACCCTTGTTCCGATTAATGTTTCTACTGGATTGTTTCGGAGCTGAAGATGGCATGGGGTTCTTAACTGGACCATTTCCAAGACGCAGTGGATTCTTCGTCGTCTTCGCTGTTAGCTCAGTTCCTACATGGAAGAACGAGAATTCTAACAGAGAGAGAGAGAGAGAGATTTCAAGAATCCAAGACTGTAAGTATGTTCGACATCCTTAAGCTTCTTGATAGCATTGTGTGAAGATACGAAAGACTATTTGCTGTGCTATAGATTGGTAAGTCTAAAAACGTTTCAGCAAACAAAATAGTTCTCATGTCATTCAGGGAATTAAAGTGGTAACATCTCCTTTTTATTACAATACTTTGCATCACAAAACTCTAATCTGTTCAGTAGCTGAACTTCATATTTCATCCTATTGCCTTTTAATCTGTTTTCATAAAACTGGAGTTCGAGTGCTATGTTGATACACACAACCCTATAACATAACGGTAACACTTATACAGTCGATGTTAGAAAAATAGCCGTTTTTGAAATCGTCTTTATTGCAGCACAGGCACAGAGATATCCCATATCGTGACTCGAAATCTGAATTACGTAGAGCTCAAAAACCGATCACTTACAGAACGCTGTCTAAACAGCCATTTAAAAGGGCTTTGCAATATAGTCAGATCCACTAGGAATTGGGCAATACACTATAAGGTATTTCTCCTGCTTTCCTAGCTTGCCTTCGTGGTGTAGTGGTCAGCACAGTGAGCCGGTATTCCAGAGGTCCGTAGTTCGCTTCCTGGCGAAGGCGGTTGCTGATTTTTCATCTCATCTGCTTCCAAAACTCCTAATGTCTCTACAGTGGCGCCCGAACTAAAAGGGTGTTGGATGATGATTCTCCTCACCCAGGATTTGGCAACTGGGTCCCCTTAAAACCCCTAGCACTCTTTAAAAAGGTGGCGTATATAAGGTATTTCTCCCGCTTTCCTAGCTTGCCTTCGTGGCGTAGTGGTCAGCACGCTGAGACGGTATTTCAGAAGTACGTGGTTCAATTCCCGGCGAAGGCGGTTGCCAATTTTTCATCTCGTCTCCTTCCAAAAAATTTCTAATGTCTCTACAGCGCAATGGGACAATGTTCTTTCTTCAAATGAAAATCGATTCAGTCTGCAATCGAATTCGGGCTATCAGTTCATTTTGCATATAAAGATAGGATGTATTAGCGGAAAAGTATACAAGGAAGGTAACTTTATGTTAAGGTGGCAGTCATGGTGTGGAGGAACATGATTGATGAAACTACCGAAGAACAGATTCTGTATAGTGGCTAACATCGGCTTGAACATTATGTTCATGCTTACCGTGCTACTGGCAAAACACTTCTTTTTATCAATTATAACCAAAACTACCGTAAACAAAAGACTCACTTGGACTTTTTAAATAGTTTTAATTAACAAAACACCATTAAGATAAAACATTACAATTACGGGCGTTATAGTTACACATTTAAGTACAAAGTAAATCTCGGGGAAGAACATCTTGGGAAAACAGCATGCTTAGTTCATGACTCCCGTACATCGACTATAAGCTATTATCTCTTTTGGCCGGTGTTTCTTCCGGCGGCCGCTAGATGGCGCTTCTAACAGCTTTAAATATTATTAAAATCTTGTAGTTTAAAATAAATAATTTAATTAGATGAACATTAAGGTATTTGTGAATACCTGTATTTGAAACCAGGCTCCAGTGCCACGTGCGACTTTCGCACAAAGAATTTTTAAGAAGAATTTTTAAATGTTAGAATTCTTTTTTCTTCTTTGTTTTGTATGTCGCCATTTTGAGTGCTAAATAAAGTTTTTTTCTGTGTTCCATCATTGAAGTTGCTTCATATTGCCAAAGAAGTATCACAGTCATAATTATTTTGGAGGCACCGACCGAGATCGAATAATCGTGCGTATTTTTATTTTATTAGTTCATCACTGAACATAATATTAGTGATATCAGATTATCACTTCTTGTTAATATTGAATTGCTTTATGTTATTAGTTTATCACTGAACGCAATATTAGCGATACCAAATTATTACTTCCTGTTAATATTGAATTGTATTATTTTATTACCGTATTGGATATTATTTTTAATATTCATTTTAGTTGTCCAGACAGTAGATATATATATATATTGCTCTATGTTGTTATTCTTATTTTAGTCACAATTAATGTGGTAGAGAAAATGAACTTCATATAATTTAAATATTTCATTTTTGAGGTATACGTATTTAACAAAGTGCATTTAATTCCGTGATTCCTGACTGCATTAATTAATTAAAGTAATTGAATTGAGCTATTTTGAGGAAGAATAAAGAACACAGTGTTCTTTAATTTTAAACATAGAAACAATGTCTTACTCAGGAAGAGCTCGTAAGGAAGATTTGCAAAATCTCGCGTATGAACTGGGAGTTCATGTGACTGCAGATTTGAAAAAAAGTCGATTTAAAACAGAAAATTGTTGAAAGTAAAGATTATGATGAAGTATTCGTCAAAGGAGTCTTAGACACAATAATAGAAGAACGGAAAGAGGGGGAGAAAAGAGAAGAACGGAAAGAGAGGGAGGAAAGGGAAAGAGAAGAACGTAGGAGACAGGAAGAAGCAGAAGAGCGGAGAAGGAACGAACAGTATGAATTATAGAGAGATTAAGACTTGAAGCAGAGACAAAGTCTCAAAATACCGACAGATCCGGCCGGAAACGGAGCTGCGTCACCTTATGCAGAAATTCGATGACAAGAAAGGAGATATCAGTCTATATTTGCTATTGTTTGAAAGGCAAGCAGAATGAGCTAAAATTGTTAAAGAAGAATTTGTATCTCATTTACTAGGACTACTTCCTTACGAAGTAACCCAGTTAATAGCTAGAGAACCCTCGATAAAGCTAAAGACTATGAACACGTGAAGAATTTATTGTTAAGACGGTTTAAACTAAGCCCGGAAAAGTTTAGGCAGAAATTTATGAAACATCAAAAGAGTACCGAATCCACATGGGTGGATTTTAATTATGAAATAGAAAATTATTCGAAAGAATGGGTAACTGGTCTAGGAGTTAAGACTTTTGATCAGTTGCTAGATTTGATGGTGATTGACCAACTTAAATGTCGAGTTCCTCCTGAAATTCGAGATCATTTTCTTGATGAGTGGGCAGAGATGATTTCATCTAAAAAATTAGCTGAAAAACTTGATGCCTATGAAAACGTTTGCGAAAACTTTCAAAAAAGGCCTGTAGTGGATCGGCAGAAAGAAAGATACAATGCACTAACTCAAGGTAAATTAAGTTCAGATAAAAAAACAAAACTAAAAAAAAATGTCATTAGGATTTAATTCGCAAAGCTGGTTCATAGACCTAGAAGTCGACGTCCATATGATAAATATGAAAAACGAAAGACGCCACAATGCTATCAGTGTGGGTCCTATCAACATTTAAGACCCCAATGTCCAAAACTTAAGAATAGTACTGAATCTGCTGCTAATCTTAACAGAATTAGTGCAAAACCAGAGGATGGATTTCTATTACCTTATACTAGTATGGGTTACGTAAATGGTCATAAAATTCCCATATTAAGGGATTCAGGTGCTAGTATCGATATAGTTTGTCGCAAATACATCACGCCGGAAATGTTGACAGGTGAAAATGTGTGGGTGCAACAGCCATTAGATTTGAATCCAACCTGTTTACCATTGGCTGAGATCGAACTAAATTGCGATCTTAAGCTAGTAATAACTAAGGCTGCCATTATTAGAAATGAACTCGACAAAGGAAGGTATTTATTAGGCAATCGAACTTTTGCACTGTTTAATAAACAGGGAAAGGAGCCTCATAGTTGTCCTCACCAGGTTAAAGCTGTCTCTACTAGAGCTCAAAGGAAAAGAGAAATAGCTGAAGAGAAGATCTTGGAACCGATGGAGGAAGAAAATAAAGCATCCAGAGATGTTTTTGAAGAAGAAGAAAATTTACCGGAACTAAATACGGAAGATGAAGCTCTCATGAAGCTGGTAAACATTGACTCAGAAGAAGTTGCATAACATCAGCTTGCTGATAAGGAACTGTCTAAAATCATCAAAGAAGTTAAAGAACTCATGCAAAAATGAGAACTATAGTCTGACAAGAGCTTATAGTTAAAAAAACGACGGATAAAATGGGCTTTGAAAGACAGCTTGTCGTTATACCTGAAAAACTCAAGCCGTCAATTATAAAGATGTGCCACGAAGGAACTTCTGGTCATTTGGGTGTCAAAAAGACAAAGACAGACTTGCTAGATATTTTTTACTGGACGAGGTGTTACAAAGAAACTGAAGATTTTGTAAGAACCTGTGATGTTTGTCAGCGCGCTGGAAAAGAAATGACAAAAAGAAGGCTCCAATGACATAGTACCAGAATTTCCGAAATATTCACTAAAAATAAATGTCGATGCTGTTGGTCCGATACTATTTCAAGAAAGACTGAAACAAAAATATTGTTACAGCTTTGTGTATGTCAAAATCCAGATGCTGTTGCGGGTGAAGGCATTTCTCGCCATCTGTTATTGATGCTTTCTTACAGATTTTCAGTCGTATGGATTTTCCCAAAAGTGATCCAAACAGATCAGGAGGATCCAAACTCTTTCGTCAGTGCTTTGACAGTAGGAATTTTTGGAGCGTTTCGGCATTAAACATGTTAAGAAGCTCTGTGTATCATCCGCCAGAGTAATCCCGTTGAGAATTCCATAGAACGTCTTAAAAAGTGTGTTAAGAGTCGTATGTATAGGAGCGACTTCTGATTGGGAGAATTATCTACCATCAAGTTCTTTTTGCTCTCAGAACAGTCACACACGAAAGCACTGGTTTTACACCTAGCAGAAGCTAGTTCATGGTCAAAACCTACGAACGCCAGTCACTTTTACTTTATGAGCAGTGGCTAGAACCGACTGAAGAAAGTAATAATGGTTGTCAGTTACGTTTTCACGAACTTATTAATCGAATGAAGAAATGCCAAGAACTTGCCGAGGAAAAACCATGAAAGAAAGCTCAACAACGGAGGAAAACATGAAAACGTAATACGATCGAAACGCAAGTGAAAAGAGAATTTGCTAGAGGAGATTTAGTTCTTGTTTTATCAACGAATCGTCAAAAGTAACTATAAGCCAATGGAAAGGACCTGGAAAACAGGAGGAATTTCAGACCCAATTAATGTAGTTTTGAGGACAAAAGCCAAATCAGTATATCACATTACAGCTTCAACATATACAAAGACCAGAAATGATTAATATGATAATGAGTGGAAGGAGACTTAGAAATGGACATTCTTCATTTACCTTCCTCCAGTATATTAAATTTCTCAGACATATAGAGGAAATGAACTCGAGAAAAGGTTGAACCGAGCAAATAGAAATTTATGAAAGGTTTTTATGGAAATATTTGGTTGTTTTTCAAATAATCCTGGCAAACAACTTAGTTTGTCCGATATTGGTTATTAAATAACGAATCATAAAACAAAGCAATACAGACTGTCACCCCGAAAGACTGAAATTCAAAAGGAAATCAAAAATGCTCGATCTTAAATTATAGAGCCGAGAGAATCGACTATACATCTCCCATGATTTTTTTGATAGAATCTTCATCAAAGGATCCTCGGCCTTGTGTTTGATTATCGTAAACTCATGCTGTTACTAAAACTGAATACTATCCTTTGCCTAATATTGAACAAGTATCGAAACTGTAGGAAAAGCAAAATATATTACCCTATTAGATTTAACTAGAGGCTATGGCCAATTCCGTAACAGAAAGAGCCCAAAGATATGCACATTTGTAACTAGTTTTGGCAGTTTTAGGCCTCACGTTTACCCTTTGGATTAAAAATGCTCCATATTTTTTTTGCCAAGTTATGACTAAAGTCCTGGCTGGATGCGAAGGATTCGCTATACCATACCTGGAGACTTTCGTATTACTCAGAAAACTGAGAAGAGACCCTTAAATCTAACTTCTGTTTCTGGAGAAAGATTTTCGGAAATCCTTCACCCCTCCGACGCTTTGAACCGGTAACCCTATACAATGGTCTGAATACGTGCAAAGCTTTAAATTTAAAGAGTTGTTAGCCAACTATTCTGTATGCTCCCGATTTGCTAAGGTTTATTATCCCCCCGATGCGTCAGACAATGGTATGCGTATAGACTGCCAATTAGATGATGAACACATGAACATCCTGTCTTGATATAAGCAAAAAATTTACTATTTAAAAGAATATTACTCTGTGAGTGCGCTGCTATCAGACGCTCCATTTTATCTGGATGGTGAGCAAGAAATCTTGATTCAAACTGATCATACCCTTTGGTCTGCGTACAATCCAATGCCAAATGTAACTCTAGATTGATGCGCTGGGAACTCTCATTACAACCTTAAATTTTAGGTCTTCATCGCAGGATCTTTGAAACGTTATGTCTGAGTAGAATAAGTAATATAATAACTCTCGTGTATGTAACGACATTTAGAATATTTTATTATTTAATGTATGTCCAAATGATGTATTTGAACGTCTTCCTTCTTTCTTTCATGGGTTGTAAAAGATTGTTTAAAATAAATTTTTGGCCTGAAATTGGAAATTTCTAAGAGACTTACCTTTCTCTTAAGCTTGAGCAAGCCCGAATTAAACTTTCGAATTTTACAGAACTTTCCCTTCGGTAAAAGTCTCTCCGTTGGAGGAGAGGTGGTAACAGCTTTAAATATTTAAATCTTGAGTGTAAAATAAATAATTTAATTAGATGAACATAAGTTGTGAATGGCAGTATTTGAAACCAGGCTCCAGTTCCACATGCGACTCTCGCACGAAGAATGTAATTTATTTTTAAATATTAGAATTCCTTTTTCTTCTTGTTTTGTATGTCGCCATTTTGAGTGCTAAATAAAGTTTTTTCTGTGTTCCATCTTTGGAGTTGCTTCATATTGCCAAAGAAGTATCACACGCTCATTGATCCGTGAGGTTACAGTAACGAGAAGTCGTTGGGTTACAGACTACCCCTCTGGCTCGTACGACATCTCGGAGAAGAGCCAGAAACATGTTGGTTTCGTCTGCCTCGTCTCCTATACTCTATCACCTGGTTCGTAAGACATCGATGACCATAATATATTTTTCCGCTTTTCATACTGTGCATTAAATCGGGATGATTTATGAGCAACGTAGAATATGGATGATTCTTTTCATACTTCATGGAATTGGAATCATTCGCTCAAAACTCCACAGAATCAGGATAATTCTCTTCATACTTCATTGAATCGGGATGATTCATCACACAGCATAGAATCGGGATGATTCTCTTGATACCTTCGCTGAATCAAGATGATTTATTCAACAGTACAGAATCATGATGATGCATTCAACAGCACACAATCAGGATGATTCTCTTCAAACCTTCACTGAATCAAGATCATTCATTCAACAGTACAGAATCAGGATGATTCTAGAAAAGTTCACTACGTGGGATTGGATTTCCTCCTGGTTCGAAGCAGCTCTCTTGAATTTTTGCAATAAGATATTTAGTTGAGTACGCCGTTTTGTATGGAGATGTTTACCTTCGTCACTTCGAAGGTTCATTCAAGTGGATGTGTTAAACTTTAGCTTAGTTAAAAATTTATAGAATTTTTTGTTTACGTGCGTAATTAGTTCTTTGAGTTGAGTCACTTTCAAATTACCTGAGACGGGCAGACCCAGTTCTGTGGCTAACACTTGCAGATCTTTCTCCTGTTTAGTCCCCAAAATGCCTGTTATCGTACTTTCAATGTCCATTGAAAAGTTCAATATTTGTTTGAAGAAACATTATATGTTCAGAAATTTTATGAATTTCTTAATTACCCTAACAATACCTAATATTTGAAAAAACATCGAACAAAACATAATCTGAGTTACTTCGAAAACGAAATACATTTTACAAAGATTGGTGCCTGCCAATGGAAATTAAAATGCACAAATTTAGTGAAAAATAATCAAAGAATAGAATTAACTGATAAATCTGTTAGAGATTAGGTTAATTACAAAAGCCGCGTGAGATGAAAAATTAGCAATCGTTCGCCGGGAATCGAACCACGGACCTCTGGAATATCGGCCCAGCGTGCAGAACCACTAGTAATAAGCGCAGGTCCTCAGGAGCAAAGGATGCTGCCATGAGAATAGAACAATAGGTGACGCAACGGAACATGGCCTTCGCCATTTTGGAGTTCCGGTGAAGTGACGACACCAGAGCCATCTTGTATCACGTGATAGACGGAATGACATCATCCAAGTTGCGTTTTGATTTTGTGGCAACGACCTCTTTTCAAAGTTTTTTTTTGTGGCAACGACACTTTTTTTAGGTTTTATGGTAACGATCGCTTAACACGTTTTTGAATGACATCATCCGTTTCTTGTTTGAGCACGTTTTTACAAAGTGGCGTCAGGAGGGTGACATCATCCGTTTCTTGTTTGAGCACGTTTTTACAAAGTGGCGTCAGGAGGGTGACATCACCCCTAACCTGTTGGAGCTTGTTATTTTACAAAATGGCGTCTGCCGTATCACACTTTTGTGTGCCTCCGCTTTAGGTGTAGGGATACTTTTCTGTGAACCAATCAGATTCTTTGAAATATGACCTCACCGTCTCTTAACCAATCATCGTTCAGATGAAATAAAGAGTTCCTACCCGATATAAGGTTATCCCGAGCAACGTTCCGCATTTCTTTCCTGCCTGTCGCCCTGAGTGTACGTACCTGCTTTTGCTTAGACAATCCTTCTTCACTGCTTCGAATGGATCAGGCACAAAACAACAAAGAAGTAAGTAACAAAGAAGTAACGTTTTGAAAAGTTACTGTTTTTAGATTTTTAATCTTTAAAAAAATAATTGAATTTGCAATATGTGCTTAATTTGTCTTTCCTTTTTTTCAGATGGAAAACTTCTTTGAGAAAGAACCTATGCCTTATGATAAAGTGTTGAACCATGATGTTCCAAGAGAATCAGCTAGCTCTTGTACCAAACGAAAAGCAGAAGAAACATCCCATTTCTAGAAAAAAGTACGTATTTGCGAAAAGTTTATATATTAAAATTGATATTGTATGTGACCCCATTTTTATGTATTATATACTAACTGATTTAATTTTTTTCAGCGCAAAGGACTCTTCACCGAAGACGCTATTCCAGAGGAGCTCACTCACATGGGAGACAATGTCTTTTTGGGACCCAGCATTTACAAGGGAAAAGTGACTGTGCACATCCGAGAGTATGCCAAATATGGTAAAGCTTACTATCCGACAAGACGAGGAGTAAATTTTGAGCCATGGTGTTTGAATGTTCTCGCAACCAACATGACAGTGGAGGAACCAGACCTGCTGACACTAAATCTGGAATTGCCCAAGAATTTTGTGGGTCACATATAAAGATTCCCACTTCACTCTGAAGCAACTTTCTGCTCAAGGAGATGAAAAAAGTAGCCTCAGCATTACAACGACGCAGTGGGAAGAACTGATGACCAACTTTAGCCGTATCAGTGACATTGTCACCAACCTCGTTTATCAAAACATGAACTTTTGTGAAGCCTACGAAAGCGTATCCGACGAACCTATTAACGAGGAAAATCTACCCCAATCCTTTGACGTTTCTATGGGAAGAGCGCGACTTCAAACCATTCTAAAGACGTCACTTGAAGAACTTCTTAATCAACAAGACGAACTGAAATATCCCCAGCTGAAAGACTGTGAAGAACTCGTTCATAAAACAGAAACTGTGAATGCCATTGCTCTGAGATTCAATGCTGTTGACATCGCCAGGCAATTTTATGGAAACATTTGGGGTGAAGAATCCTATTTAATGTTACTGAAACCTGCTCACTACATTACCAAGGACTTTTTAAAATCTGTGTGTGTTTAAACCATGTACTCGACGAAGTAAAGAAACACATTTTGTACTACGAATGGTGTCTTAGGTATTGAATACTATGAATATCTGTAAATTAATTATGATGTGCTCAATAAAAAAATGTTATTTTTATTTTACAATGGCCTCATTGACTGTCTCAGGTTCAGACATTATGTAAAAAGAATTAATCTGTAATGATTACTCACATAAATTATTTTCAAAATACCTGTTGACTTTTATAAGAGTATAAATAGTGTTGTTATTCTTAAACATGATTATCATTCATTATTCAGCCTTTGAGATGTTAAGTAACATTCATTTTTCTTTTTCTCTCTTGTTTTTTAGACCTATTTCTAGAATCTTAATATACGTGAAACTAGGGTATTTTTTTCTGTTCTAGTTAAACATATATAAATGAATATCAGTGTACGTTTAGATCATAACAACTGTTGCAATGAACGCAGCTCTGGCTCAGACCTATCGGGATTCTCAGGTCCCCGCAAGCTTCGGAGGTGTTGCTGCTTTGCATCATTCTTTAAAAGGTCGCGTAAAAACAAGACATCCAGAAATGGTTGCAAACCAAGTATTCTTATACTTTGAACAAGCCTTTGAGGCACACGTTTCCCAGGAACAGAGTCATCGTAGGAGGCTTAAACGAGCAATTTCAATCTGATTTAGTGGATATGTAATCCCTGGCCTCTTTTAATGACGGATACAAATATTTGCTGACCTGTATAGATATCCTTTTCAAATACGCTTGGGCTATCCCTCTCAAAGATAAAAAACATCTGTGTCTATCCAATCTGCTTTCGAAAAGATATTTTCGGAAACGTACACCCGAATCATTACAAACAGATGCAGGGAAAGAGTTTACCAATAAACAACGTTCAAATTTTTTGAAAAAGAGAAAAATGTTCACTTTTTCACGGACACATAATGCAACCAAAGCTTCTGTCGTAGAACGATTTAATCGAACTCTGAAAACAAAAATGTGGAAATACTTTACCGAAATGAATACACGAAAGTATATTGATGTGATTGATAAATTGATATCCAGTTATAACCATACATGGCATCGTAGTATTAAGACAGAACCTGTATCGGTTACATTACAAAATCAAGAAAGAATTTGGAAAACATTGTACGGACAGCAACCAGCAAAAAGTGTTTTCTTCAGATTTAAAGATTGGAGATACGGTACGCATCAGCCGAGGAAAAAATGGCTCTTGAGAGAAGGATACGAACAAAACTGGACAAGAGAAATTTTTACAATCTATAAAATTATTCGACGGATTCCTGTTGTCTACAAACTGAAAGATCTAGCAGGAGAAGAGAAGTTATACAAGGAACTTTTACAAACAAGAACTTCAAAAGGTTTCGGACTCTGGTTATTATCGTCCGTAGAAAAAAGTTTTAAAAAAGAGGAAACGTCGCGGGAAAAGTGGAATATTTTGTGAAATTTCAGGGGTACCCCGAAAGCTTCAATGCTTGGGTAGATGATGTAGAAGGATTATAAAAGGCCTGTACATTCTGCTTACTCGTCATTTGAACGAAACATGTCTTCTTTATCACACTGATCAGTGACAGCTCCATGC